CAATCCAATATGATTAACCGTTCTATCTGCAAAAAGTGGTTTCACAGACGATGAAATAAGATGTGTTTGTTCCTGTTACCTAAAAATCTATTACAGGATTCATCACAGATGGAAACTCCAAACTGGTGGGGAACGCTCGTCTTCGCCAGGTGAGGGTGCATAAAAACTCCTGCCACGTGGCTCCTTCCATGCAGCAGTATGAGCAGGAGTGCCACGCTCCGTATTCATGGGAGTTGGAGGACATGGGCTCCTACAGTCCAGCCTGGAGCCACTTTTTGACTGATAACGCCTCACTGAACCTTCCCAGCCCATGGACGTACCAGTCCCAGGGTAAACTGAGGGCCTACCCCATCTGGGGCAGTGTGATGCTCTACAGAGGAGGAGGTTTTGTGGTAGACCTGGGACCAGATATACAAAATTCAAGCAGGTAGGCATTATAATACATTAAATTAACTGAAAGTAACTCAAAACAATGACAGACATAGTTGACTGACAGAAGATAAATCATCAAAGATTGTAATAATCAATGAGAATTTAGTTTTAAGGTGTAACATTTATAAAATTATTTAACCACGTTTTCTCTTTGTAGATCCCTTCAGTACCTTTATGACAACACCTGGTTTGATGTGTACACCCAAGCGGTCTTTGTGGAGTTCACTGTGTACAATGCCAACGTCAACCTCTTCTGCATTGTCACACTCATGCTGGAGACCACAGCCATCGGTAGATAGCGCATGTTCAGCTTCTGTGTGAGAGCTGCACAGAAACTTTAAATGTCATAAGAATCATGTTGTATGTCACTTTCGCTTCTCACAGGAGCTTTCCAGTTCCGCAGTGAGCTTCAGAGTGTGCGTCTTTACCAGTCGACTGGTGGGCTTCACCTCTTCGTCATGGCCTCTGAAGCCATCTACTTCCTCTTCATCATCTATTACATGTTTGTCCAGGTATGAAATCGTTATTGAATCTACTACCATTACTAGTAATAATAATTAAGTTTGTCACACAGACTCTCTTCCTGACAGGGAAAGCTGATGAAGCAGCAGAGGTGGGCTTATTTCAAGAGTAAGTGGAACCTGCTCGAGCTGGCGATCATCATTCTCAGCTGGAGCGCGCTGTCTGTCTTTATCAAGAGGACTTTACTGGGAAAGCGGGACATTGAGTACTACCAGGACAACAAAGACCAGTAAGCAACTAAGAAAAAACATACGTTCAATAGTAGTATATATTCAAGGATCTTAAAGTTATTACAAGTTTCATTCTTCTATATGAATTTTGCTTTTTTATTTTCAATGTTTTATTTTTATAGAATGCAACCTCAGAGAAGTTGAAGTGTGAGATGGCCTTTGGAAATGAATATTTACACAGTGAATCTGTTATTAAAATCAAATCATCAAATCAATGAATAGAAAAAGATTATAAGTCAACTATAATTTCCAAAGTTTATTTAAAACATTTTTCAATAGATTGGTAAAACAAGGCTATGTCCTATCTTGCTCTGTCTCCAGATATGCAAGTTTCCATGAGACGGCCAAGGCTGATGCAGTGCTGGGGTATCTGATTGCCTTCCTGGTGCTTTTGGCTACAGTCAAATTGTGGCACCTGCTGAGACTGAACCCAAAGCTGCACATGATCACAGCCACGCTGCAGCGAGCCTGGACTGATATTTCAGGCTTCCTGGTGGTCATGACCATCATGTTTCTGGCTTACTCCATTGCTGTGAGCAGTTTCCCACACTTGATATGCTATATTTTTTTAAACAGAACTAACTAAAGAGATGGTTATTAACACAGATATAAACTTTCCACGTTTCAGTCTAACCTGATGTATGGGTGGAAGCTATACTCCTATCGCACTCTGCTGGATGCTGCACAGACCATGATCAGCCTGCAGCTTGGCATTTTTAACTACGAAGAGGTTAGTCTGAGACTGATATAACTGTACCACAGCAGATTATTACAGCTGACCCTTCTTCAGTGTATGTCCTTCTCCTGATCCCTCAGGTTCTGAATTACAATCCAGTGCTTGGTGCTTTCCTCATCGGCTCATGCATTGTGTTCATGACCTTTGTGGTGCTGAACCTCTTCATCTCTGTCATTCTGGTGGCATTCAGTCAAGAGCAGATACATCACAAGGTAACTTACCCATGCTGAGTGTGAAATGTCTTATTGTACACGTGTTGTTAGAAGAAGTGAGATGTTACCATTACAGAAACAGCCTCTCATGACATGATACTTCCTTTCATACAGCCTTCAGAAGAGGATGAGATTGTGGACATGATGCTGATGAAACTCTGCAGTTTGTTTGGACTCAAATGTAAGAAACAGGGGGGCAACTGCCTGACTGAGAGGCCAGTTGTTTCATCTGCTTCAAATAATGGACTCTCAATGATTTCTTCTGGCAATTTGTGAGGGTTGAAATGTTCCCACAGAATGCTTTGCTTCAGTTTTTGCTTGCCCTAGCTTGCCTTATTTATTCAACCCAACATGTTGTTACTTTGTGACTGAATATTAAGCCCTTGCTAGTCTGTAAATTATTAGCATTTTTCTTTACTGTTGCAGATCTGTCACTATTGTGGGAGAAGCTAAAATCTTATCTGAGGATAATCCTCATGCTATGCACTGATGCTCATTTAGGCTGCAGTATGTTTTGCTAAGTAAATAAATTAAACATCTGTGTTTACTTGACCTCTTGTCCAAAATGTTTTTATTCAATAAAATCATTATTCATGGATACTGGTGAAATATTGTTTTTGCATCAGTCTGACTAATCTGATTCGGCTCAGAAACATAAATAGTTAGGTGTATCAGTAAGCATGAAGAAGTAGCCAAATAATATTCCATTTCTGTGATAATTGTTTATTATTATGAAACAAGTCCAGGGTTTTGTGATCACTTCCCCGAAGTATGATTTTTTTTTGTAAACACTGTTGAACAAAAACAGGACTGACCATAATGTCTAAGGAAACAAAACAAAGTAGCAGTATGAAAATTATTATACAATTATACAACATTAAAAAAATATGTGTACACTCTAGTACTCTCATTGCCATTCTTGTCTCAGAGGTAATGGAGACATGTATCCCTTTTAAGAAAGTATAAGGTTTCCTGATGTTAGGATACCTCTAACACTTGCACTTCTGAGGAATGAAATAAAGGGTTTCCACATTTCCTCAAACACATTCAGTCAATTTCAAGTTCAAAATCTTTCCAAAAATCCATTATTTTACCACATTCCCAAATACAATGATAAAGGGTTCCTTTATATTTGTTACAGGTAGTACATGTGTCTGGTATATTGTTATATTGTTGTAATTTTACTGGTGTTACATATATGTATACGCATTAACCAATTATATTGCAATAGTATTAGACGAGTACAGATTTGAGATTTTTAAGTTGAGGTATCTAAGACATAATATGTCTTAGATACCTCAAATATCATACAGTTTAGCAGATGCTTTGTCTGGATGTTATCAGATTCAACAAGATATCATTTTACTTCATGTATGTAGTCAAAATAAATAGTAATATGTAATATGATCTGGAGATCTGTGAATCATAAACATTAGTACGCACTTGATATCTATATTGCCAAGTACATTTAAATGCATTTTTACCATTTTGGCAATTTACCTGTGAATGGACAGTAAAATTAATCAAGTATGTCAGCATCATCAGATTTTTGCCATGTATAATCACTGGGACTTCTGCTGCCACCCCAATACATTGAAAGTTATTAGAACAACTCATTTGTGATAAGCAAAGCACAAAAAAATATATTTTAATTGAACTTAAAGTTTTAAAAGTAGTTTTCTACAATTGTAGCATCACATCAGTGATTTCATTAACCTCCACCACATTGGGAAGGAGTGGATGTTTCAGTTATGAATATCTTAAAAGAATTTACCATTGTTGTTGATCTTGTTTTTGTTTTTTACTACCGGTGTAACTTTGTAGGTGGCAGGTTTTGTGTTTACATTCATGATATGGAGGTAAATAATCTGCAACAGAAAGAGATATTAATCACTAAATGTAAAGGTGAAATGACAATAAATGCCTGCTGCACAGCAGTAGGGATGGGTCGGCTCACACAGGACAAAGAGCGAATACACTGCTTGGTTCTTAGTGAGGTGCTGTTGGCCTACTGTGGCTCAACAAGGCTGAGCTTTAACCTTTCGCATTTAATTAAGGCACAACAATGTGTAGCAGGTTCTTAGTCTGAATTTAAATAATAGTCATTTCTATTTCAGGTGCATTTTAATGTAATGAATTTTTTGTTTGGTTTGTTTTAAAAAATGTTATGGTATAGATCTATTGATTGATTGATTGATTGATTAATAACTATAACTATAACTAGAAAAAAACAAGACAGACTAGAAATGCACTAAATATACACTGTAATAATAATAATCATAATAAAACTTTATTAATATAAAACATTTCAAACAAAAAGATTCAATACAATGTGCTCCACAAAACATGAAAAGATGACACATAAAACGACAGATGCAAGAGATGGAGACAAAAACACTGTAGAATAATAGTGTCACAGTAATACAAAGCACAGAAATATGTTACAGTATATCCTGGTATTTAATAATACAGAGGTATGAGACCATAGTACCACAGAGATACATATATTTACAGTAGATATAAATATAGGAAACCATGTAAATCATCATTCAAATTTACAAATGATCTCATAATCATATATTTTTCCCCTTTTTAAACAGTTTCCACAAACATATAAACACCTTCATGCAGTTAAACATATGGTGCACTATTGAGCAAGAATAAAAAATATATAAATTTAATATAAACCAATAACAGTAAAAAAAAAAAAAAAACACACTCATGTAAAAAAAAAAAAAAAGTACAATGACTTAGAAGAAAAAATAAATAAAATAAAATAAAATAAATCTACTCAACATATTACTCATAATGAATAATCCCGACGTAATGTGTACGTATTACGTCCTTCTGTGTGGGCGTGGCTCACAGCTCTGGTCGTCTGCTGACAACAACATGAGTCGTGGAGGCGGACCGAGGGGGGGACTCAGCAGGCAAGTGACGGCGGAGACGGTTAACCAGCTCTAAGGACAGGGTCAACTTAAGTAGCTAAAGTTGTCTGAACACAAGTTTTAAGTTTTTTTTCTGACAGTCAGAGAGAAAATAATATCGTCCAGCGACGTAACGCTGCATCTGAGTGAGGGTGTCCGGTTTCCCAGTCTGAGGGATTGCGATGCCCTCTGACTTTATCTCCCTTTTCAGCGGGGACCTCGACCTGAATTCTCCCAGATCCTTGTACTCAAAAGGTAATTACAGCTTCTATATATACACACACACACACACACACACACATATATATATATATGTATATGTATATATATGTGTATATGTATATATATTTAATCTGTTTGTCGCACCTGTTTAAGTTCCCACTCTGTTGTTGTAAGTTTGTGAAATGTGTGTGTAACTTATCCACCTACCTGTGTTTGGTCGTAAGTGTTCATGTGGTGGCGTTCAGCCCCCCTTCAGTGTCATTCATCTATAAACTGCCTCCTGTCACATGCCTTGCTGATAATAGCGTGGAGTCAAGTTTTTGTACCTACACGCCCACGGTGTCCCTCAGCTTTTATTCTGGTAAAAGACGCTGGTTTATGTTTCCTGGAGCGAGGTGAAGTAGTTTCTTTTATTTCTGTTTTTCAAACTGAAGCCCTCAGCAGCTGCATGCACACCGGTCAGACCAGTTTACTTTCCCCCTGCCAGCTGAAAAGCAGTGTTTTCTATTTTCTGTGGGTTGTTTGAATAGGCCATCAGTGCCCCCCAACCCACCCACACCGGCCCCCCTGAGGCACCACACATGCACTAACACTGCCCCTGAGTGTGGCGCTGGTGGGCCCCATAAACATGGACTCTGTCATCATTAGTATGGGAGCCCTGGGCAGCCCTCAGGTAGAATAACTGCACTCATGAGAGCAGGTGTAAGTCTGGAGAAGGAAAAAAGGATTATTTGTACTGTAGCATGTTTAGTCACACAGTAAAGGTAGTCAAGTTTAAGAGTTTATCCATTGTTTATCCAATGATTTCTGCTCAGACACGTATATGGAAATATGTTCATTTGCCTCATTCCAGCAGTAGGAAAAGTGAAAGAAAAAGTTAACCCCCCCCCAAAAAAAATATATATATTTAGCTGAAAATGTCTGGCTTGGTAGTCAGTGCATCCATCATGTGTCCAAAGCAAGACAATTGAGTTTTGAAGACGATATCAATATTTGTAATTTTAAAAATGATCACCCATCTGTTTCCGCTTTGACAGTCTCCTGGTCGCCCTCGTAGCTCTGTGATATATATCCATGATCTCTCCACACAGATCTGTTGCAACCTTCCTCACATGTATTCATGAAATAGATGGAAATGTCATATTTCCAAAGTGTTTTCTGCGTTGTTTTTCACCGTTGACCGGTGTTCTTTTACTTACGCCGTCCTCTTGGTTGGCGGTTTTACGACTGGACAGTTGGCGCCACCTGCTGCTTCTTTTTTTGATTGACTCAAACTTAATTTCAAATTTGCGATACATTTGAATCAAAACATGGATAATGGCTGAAATAAATTCCCAGTTGACAACAGGACGCTCTATACTGCAGTTCATTTTAAAGAGGGTCGTCTCATGTTGAGGACAGCCCTGAATATACTTCCATTAAAGGACCAGTGTGTAGGATTTACTAGTGGTGAAGTTGCAGATTGCAACAAACTGAACGCCACTGGCGACTGCAAGTGTGTATGAGACAGTGGCCACAAAAAACAGCAAGTGTTTGGTTTGTCCGTTCTGGGCTACTGTAAAACAAATAATACATTTTTTAATCAACTGATTGGAGATGAGAAAATGCTATTCCTTTTTTTAAGATCAGTTTTATTCTTAAAACTTTGACTCATCAGAAAACCTGCTATATGTAGACTCTTATAATTTCTTGTGCACCATATAAATCTGAAATTCCTTTGAGGTCCAGACCAATTGTAACTTGTTCTTTAGCCTAGCTTGTTTGCTTACCAATCACACTATTGTGTGTTTGTGTCAGCATAGTTGACACGACTGTGTGTGAGAGGTAAAGTTAAGTTAGTCTTGCATCTCGCCGACAAGGCCAACTCCACCCCCACCTGCCAATGTTTGTAGGATTGCCCTTTTGGTTGCAAAGAAAAATACCCCACACACAGTTCAAAAGGAGTTGTTCTACATTATGGTCATAACATGAAGTAGATTGTAGTTCCATAAGTTCTGCGTTTTATTGGGTTGTTTTTTCATGAAGCTACATTGGACAGCTAAACCACAATGTGGGATACATATTTTTAGCATGCAAGTAGTCCAGGGAATACCACGGAAAAACCACTCACTGTAACAATGGCACTCAGGATAGGAATGCTAGTCATACTACCTCTTGTGGATGGTAAAAGACTGTTAATGGACATCATAAAATGTCTTCCCATCAGTTTCATTGGAACGAAGGAAGGAACGTTATGGCTTTCCCATAAGTTCTGTCAAACCCTGGTTAACAATTGTAAGACCACAGATCTCAACATAGTTTTGTTTTTTTCATATTGACACCCACCAAAGCCTGGTCAATCATTAACTCTCTGGCTGCTCTGTGTGTAAACCTGGGCTTAAATAGCACTCTATTAATATTGACTCTGCTGTGTTAAGCAAACTTAGCGGCATGCGCTTAAAAATACTTGATTGCCTTGAAAGCTTGTTGAAATCTGATGATGAAAGACAAAATACCTTAGAGGGAAAACATCTTAAAAATAAGGAAAAGAGTATATGGAGTTCATAAATGTGCTGTTGTATTAGGCTAGTGTCTTTTCTACCATAAAGATCAATAGTTGGACTGTTGATATAATTAACTCATGACTCAGCAGTCTTGTGAAGTTCATTGTTTCATTGTAAATGTCACAAGGTAGTTTGGTATTGGTAGTAGGTATTTAGTATTTTGAAGACATCTAGAGCATTCTTCACGCTGTCTTTATCTTTTTAACATCAACCCCAACCTGTTCCGCATACTTCAGACTTTAGTCAGTTTAGTTTGCTCGGTTATTTGCCAGGTGGCACAAAGGAAGCAACCATAAGACCATTCTTGACATTGTATTGGTTTCTTTATTTATTTCAATTTCCATTTTTGAATGCATATTGTGAAGATTTTTCCCATGTCATGATGATTCCATTTGCATAATGAATGCTCAACCAGCCAACCCAGGATGAGACACCAATATGAGCCTCATAAATGAAAAGAATATACTACTTTGAATCTAGATACTGCAATAGTACTTCAGTTATTGTGGAGTCCTTGATCACGGTTTGGTTCATATTCTAGTTTAAGAGTTACATTTCAGTGCGAGTTGGAAAAATGCCCAAGGATACGTTTCTTTGCATCTGGGTAATGCTGTTGGTAAATGTGCACTAGCATAATTATGTCGTGTTTACATTTGAATACCATACAACGGTGGACCCACACCAACACAATGTCCTGGTTGCAGCTGACCAGGAACCCGAATTGTTCTCAAACAAATGGTTTTAAGGACAGATGTGGGTCTGAACTTGAGCTTGTAAACCTTGGTTGCACATAATGTGCATCAATCTACATACCTTGTAGTGTACATGCACTAGACCGTGACCCCCATACAGTGACAGTTCGACATTAATACACAAACGATCAAAGCCATTGTCCACCAGGGGACTTTGGTTCTGGCTCCCGGGCTCCTCGGTCATGTATAAATGCTGAACTTGGGTTTTCTGAAGTTTGTCATCAGGACCATCAGGTCCACAGTGCCTCAGTGTTGTGTTGGCAATGTGTTTCATTCAAACTCTCTTGCTCCTGCTTCCCCTTCGGTAAGCCCCGGCAGAGGAAGAGACGCATATTATAGCCCCTAAAACATCTTATTACTGAGCCAAATGGGAATAATGATACTAGACATACATTTCTCTTTTATTCAGTGTGTTCAGATAGATTCATTGTGTGTGTGTATCTTGACCAAAATAAATGTAATGATGCAAATTACTCACACCTCCTTACCTTCTTCTAAATCTCTTCGATTAATCATTAACACTAACCAAACCTCAGTAAAAAGACTAATCAGGCCCAGGTCAAAATATCACCTCCTCTGGTATTTACTGCACACTTGTGACTTGTTTTGGCCACGGTAAATCAATGTATGAGTGGTTTAACCTGTTGCACCTGAATCTGATCCTGAAGTGTTCATTTTATGTGTTTTTTTTTTCTCAATAGTGTTTTAAAAGTGACTTCTGATATAATTTGTTAGTCCTTAGCTGCCCATTTGTGCTTTTACTATTTTTACACTCAATACATATTTTATTCTGCACACAAAAAGCTAATGTCAGTAATTTTTAGATCTGATGAAATCCGATGAAAAGAAAGTCTGACAAAAGTTGGTAAAACACCCTAAATTATATGTGTAAAAAATCCAACAAAAATTATAAAAATATCCCAAATTATATTCATAGAATCTAATATAATATAATAACATAATTACAAAAAATATATGAAAATTAGTACTAAAATATCAAAGAAAATATACTGTACAACACTATAAATGTCATTTGGTATTCTTGATTTATTTTAGTGACACTTGTACTGTTGTTTTGGTGATATTAGTGTGACATCTTTGGATCATGAAAGACATATTTTGACTTGCAGCATGACAGTTTTGTTTACGTACACAATACCGCATGCACCATGTAGTGCACCTTTTTATAGATTTTATGATCCGAAGTCAGGATCAACAAATACATAAAACAGGTTTGTTGCCTAGTTTTCCAGTTTTCCAGTTCTTTTGTGACGTGTGTAGCAGACCTTTGTGTCCTACTTCAGGTTAACAGGTCAGTTGTGTTCATGAAATGTAAGCAGATCTTTGCTTACCCTGAAGCAAACGCATATCAGCCGTTGAATGGAGTTTATTTTCTGATAATGTTGCTGTGGAGCAGGGTATCACTTAGAAAAACTACAGTGGTGTACAAAGTGTAACAAGATGCAATTTATCTTGAGGCAGCACTTTTACTGTTTATTTTATTTCTGTTTGTCAAGCTGGATTTCTGCTTCTCCCTTTAAGTGTTTCAGTGTTTCTACTGTAGTGTCTCCGGCATATGGATTGATTTGTAGTCCAGCATATAGGATTTCTATTTATTAATCTGTAGGTGATGTTTTCCTCACAGGCCAAAATGGAGAAGAAAATGTGCATTTACAGATTTAGCTGGTTTAATGTTGACACAGTCTCTTTGTAGTCTGAAGGAGGAGTGCAGGATGCC